TGCGGGGCCGGGGGAGGTGGGAGTGGTGAGTAACGGCCGCTTTCCCGCCCGCCTCGCAGGCGTCGTGCCGGGGAGTGAGGGGAGAGGCCTGGCTGGGGGCAACCGGCCTCTCCTCGGAGCCTGTCCTGGGGAGCTGGCATGGCCGGTAACGCCTGCCCCGCTGGTGGGGGGAGAAGGGCCGGGCGCCTTCCCCGCCTCTGCGGTGGCCGGGCCGGTGCGGGGGAGGCACCGCGCGGGGACACCTCACGGTCACCGCTGCCAGCAGCGGTGTCTGCTCTCGGCATACGGGCACAGGCTCAGCTTGTTTCAGGTGGTCTCCTAAAAGCGGTTTTCCTTCAGGTTCTCGTCCCGTGCGGGCGCTGAGCGCCTGAGTGCCCCAAGGTTAACCTGGGCAAGTCTCAGGAAGCCGTGGGGTCACTGGTGACATGTAAGCGGTGTTATTCAAGACTACTGCCTGCAGGGAAATGGTACTGATCCTCGCACGGGGCTTGGCTGTTTGGGGCTTTCACTGGGTTCTGTGCAAGCTAGAAATGCTGGATTTAGTAGGTGGTATTTGGTATGTTTCTGAAGTCGTGTTAAGTACTACCCCAGTCCACCCCTGCATCCAGCCGTCCTACTCTGCTCTTCTGGTTCTTCCAGGGAGATGCATCAGATTTCATTAACTTTTCAGTTCTACTCTTGCTTTATCCTGGTAATAGCTAGAGAGCTTTGCTTATTGCCATCTAGGGTTTTAAGTGCTTCTAGCTAACTAGTGGCATCATGGCTTCACTTGTGATACACACTGTTCTTGAAATGCACATGCATTTTGACCTTGAAGGCTAGCTCACCTGCTTGTATTTAGAGGGGGAAAAGGGAAGTTGAAGGGTTTTTTAAGAAAGCAGATTTTTTTTTAAAAAAACAGACCACTAGTTTTAGGAGTCTCTGTGCTTACATGGCATCAGTGTGTTCAGCTATGAAATAGGTTTTCATTGTAGCATGTGTACTGTTTATCTGTGGAAGTGCATGAGTTTAAACGGTTTGAAACAGACTGTGTAGCCTGTGAAACAAAGTAGATTGCCCATCAACATCTGAACTCATGATCCCTCATGAACACCCAGCTGCTTAAGTTTTGTTTTAGTACTGAATTTATCTTCAGCCTCTTATTAGGGGCAGTAACTATCAATTTCCCTAGGGTTTTCCTGCTCAGGATCCTGCTGGTATTAATCAGTGAATAGATGGGAACAATCCTGGAATAGCTGATTGAGAAGCCCTCCCTTGTGTCTAAATATTTGGGTCCGATTGTGAGTGCATATTTTTCCCCTTTTCATTTATTTTGTTGTAAAAGTTGGGGGAAGATGTGATCTTGGAGTGAGAGAATCTAAATTTAATTTTTAAAATGAAATTTTCCACTTCTGACATACTAGTCCTGTTTGGAATCTTGTATGCAGCTTACTGATTCATATACAACTTTGTGAATCTTATGGAAGAAGCAGGTTATTAATAGTGGCTCAAAGGTTTTTATTTCTAAGATAAACTATTTGAATAATTAGTGGTGCATGCCCTTAAGGAAGAGAAAGGAGAGAGGAACTGACTGAAATCGGAAGTGGTTGGGCCACTGAACCTTAAAATCCTTTGTGAGTCTTAACTTTATTTGAGACACTGCACTCTAGTTTAGAGTGACAGGTAGCTGTCACAATAGCAATGGTGGCCAAGTTGGCTTTATTGCTAGCTGAGTATAGTACGTGTTGTGGCACTGAATAAATGAGACTTCTGTGTTATGTACAGTGTGTGGAAGATCTTTGCTTTCTGTGGTACGTTTCTAGGGCTTTCTGCTTTTCTCCTAACTGACAAGGAAGGAGCCTTTGTCTTGATTGAGGATGCTGACTCAATGCTACTGTTCTTGAATTAGCAAGAGTTTGAGACTCCCAGTTGTGTCTAAGCAGGAATTTGAGATCTAATATTGATTTTTTTATTATTTGTGCAACAGTTTTCATGCGGATGGTTTTTGACTTCTGATTTTTATCTGGTTTAGAGCTGGTGACCTGGACAGGAGTCCTACATTGACTGTTCATTGATTCCTTCCACATTGTGTGGTAGGTCTGTTGGCAAGATTGCAATATCACTCATCAAAACCTCATTTGCTCAAATAACCTCCTGTTTATGTGTAAGACTTCGATTTTCCAACGAGTATTAATTTTTATTTTTTAATTAAAATGGTATTGTAGCATCTTTTTTAAAAAAATACTTGGTTCACCTGCTCTAGATTACTGAAGCCTGCTGCCCTGGTAGGAACAGATACTACTCCTCATGCTTAATGTCAGTTTTTCTATTTGTGAAAGTAATGTAGGTGAATTTCTGTGTACTACTATTTTTATTATTTTTATTTTTTTTTCCTCTGTTCTCGGGTGCCCAAAGAGAAATGTTAGTCAGAAATTACTTTTAGGGGAATTTGTACTGGAAACAGGATTTTTATTCCTTCATTGCTCCTGGCTGAAGTGTGTGTAATTGGGTGACTTTTTGTAAATACTCAGTTTTTCATGCTGGCAAGATTACAGGCACAGGAAACACCGCTGTACTTCACTGGTAAAAATGTTCTGGATAACTTGGTATCTCTGAAAGGCATTACAACATGTTTTGTTTATGTTATCAGTTTATTTAATATGCTCCTATTGCACCTGCAGTACTTTAGTAACTTGACCATTGGGAAAATCTTTTAGTTCCTATGCAGGGTATGAAATGTTTTGGTTCCCATTTGTTTCAGCACAGACTTTGTGCTGTGTGTACCTAAAATATAATTTCTTGATTTTCTATAGCCAGGTGAAAATTAGGAGAATGGTGTGATAGTAAAGCTTTCAAGGCTAGCGTATCATACCTATAGCATACTTCACTTTCTTATTTTCAGTTATCATTAAACATTGTCCTGCTACCAAGTAGGCAAGATTATCACAGAGGCTCACTCCACACACTAGCACTTTTGTCTGTAGTTGCAAGGGAGTGTGCTAAAAATCTGGCTGAAAAGTCTGGTTTTGGTATTTACATATTTAATGTTTTTAAATGGTTAGACACTTTGTGTAAATAAACTTCTGAAGAATTCTGTAGATTATTTAACAACTACTGTAAGTAACTTACATTGACAGTTCAATAAGATTGGTAATTTTCTGACACAAGAGTATAGTCCCTTACTTCCTCTTGATAGTTTCCAAGCTTCTCTTTGTCCTGTTATTAAAAAGAAATCCACAAACAACTCCCCCAAAAACCAACCAACTAAACAAAAAAAACCAACTAAAACAACAAAACACAACAAAAACCCAAAACCCACAAAAACCCAACAAAACTGAGAAGCAGGGGAGAATGAAAATCAAGTTACCAGAACTCTAGTTTGGTTCTGAACCTTCTGCAGCCCTCCTGAGCGAATTCCGAGGAAGTGACCAAATTATCTATGGACTGTTACTTAGTAACTGAACATGCAGGTAGTTACTGTGCCATGCCTAGGCTGAACAGAAACTGAGAAACTGAAATATCCTTGGCAGCAGATGCTTTACTGTTATAGAAGGGGACAAAACCATGTGTAGAATGATGGAATTTAATCTGCTGAAGTTCTGGAAGATTTAACATAGTATTTCAGTGATTTGCTTTCTATTAAAAAATAAAAAATAATCCAGATTTAAAAAAAAAAAAGCTTGTGAGGGGAAAGTTGTTGGAGTTTATTAATTTTTTTTTAAATTGCAGATGGTAGTTTTATTCTTGTTTCTGAAACTAGATTGCTGAATAGTTGTGATAATATCCTGCTTTGGTTCTCAGTTTTTTTCCCCTCCTCATTTATATCTTTTTTTCTCATCTTGAAAATAGCACTTAATATTATCTTAGAGAATACATTTTTTTGGGCTTGCATCACACCACAATACTATGAAGTTACTTTCCCCTTTATTCATGTATTGTTGGAAGAGATATGCATGCCAGGCTACTGAATTAAATAAAGCAGAATGGGAATTCTTAAGGTTGAGCTTACACCATGAAGCGACTGTCCCAGAACAGTGCTTTAGTGTATTGTTACTTCAGCAGGGCCATCTGTGAATTAAGGCATTTGAGTGAAGCTTGGCAGGAGAATCCAGGGAAGAAACCTCCCTTGTGTGCTCTTTGAGGTAGTTAGGGCTTTGGCAATTTGTAAAAAAACCCAGCCAACCAAATTTGTTCTACATACTGTGGAGCAACTGCTTTTGGATTAGGTCTCCACTGTCTGTTTTGGAGGAGTTTTGGCACACCAAAGGAAACTTCTTATCAGCTTTCAGAGCATGTACTATTGAGTTATAGGTCTTGGTAGATTTACAGGGACTAACTTCTACATCTTTGGCTGCCACCTGCTCACTTGAAAAGTAAACTAAAACCATGTAGTTACCTTCTGAAGCTTATCTTCTGTTGAAACTGCAAAGCTGCCTATCCGTCCTCAAGAACTGTCTGTATTTATGAACAAAATCATGGTATGTTTATGAAATTGTAGCAATAGGGCAAAACTACTTAAGAGAAGTAGTTATTATTTCATTCGGATTGTTTTTTTACCATTCTGTTTGGGTACTGTCTCAATTTTTGCATCTTTAATAGTACTCCCAATTTGAAATCCAGCAAATAGCTTGGTTTAGTTTAAGCAGTACCTTTATAAAAGTTGTGCATCTTGAATGGAGAAAGCCTAGAGTAAGCAGGGAAACTTTTAATCTCACCTGTGTGGCTTTCTTTTCAGAAAATACTCTTGTGCCTGTTACCATAAACTGTTTTACCTTTGTTCACAGATTCTTGCAGCTTAGTAAGATCACCGTCATAACAAAGTGTAGAGTAGCATTCCAAGTTATATCTGTTCATCACTGATAGTTACAGATAATGGTAGTAAAGGAGTCAGTTATGTTCACGTGAAAATGGGTCAACTGGTGAATTCCTAAGCCAAGCAATTATAAGGAGAGAGGAATAGTGGCTTGGAGTTGGAAACTGTGTATCAGTAAATCTAAGTAAAGTCATTTGGTGTTTACTGATCAACTTTTAAGTGATATGACTGAATAGCATGTTTGCTCAACCTGTTTTTTTGTTTTTGTATTGCAACCATCGGTGAAATTGCTGGTATTTGAAAGCAGAACTTGATCTTTTATGCTTTAGATTACAGATAGACACAGACTTTGCTTTTTTAAGAGTTTAAAATTTTGATTTTGGATTGCTTTCTTTATGCTCTTTAAAAAAGCTTTGGGTATTATAACAGATTGGAGTGAAAACTGTAAAACACCTGTCTACCTGCACCATAGTGATTTTAATCCTCTTAAGTTAATTATTCTTGCAGTGGACCTCACAGGATATTAGTTGCCTGATTTATGGAAGGTAAACAGTGCATGAGGTATTTCAGTTGTAAAACTTTGTGCTCTGTAAGAAGTCTGGTAATGCAACAAATGAGGTGTCTGTTGAGAGATGTGCAGTAACTGCTTGTGGTGAATAACTTGGCAATGTGTAATTTATAGGTTTATGGATTTTTTAATCTGATTTTTAAATGATGAAGATCAGTAAATTGCTTTTAATGTGTAGCAGACTAGTGAAAACATTATTTCCTTAAAAAGCTGTCCAGGTTTTGATGTAAATTGCAGTGAACTTTGATTTTTTAATAATTATTATTATTTTATGTTTTTTTAATTGTAATTACCTGAATACTGCTTTCTTGGCACACTTGTAGGACACAGGGCATGCAACAAGTAGGCAGTTAAGTGTACCCCCTTGTGCAAAGGGAGAAGCCAGAGGAGTAACAGCCCTAAGCTTTGTGGTGTTGATGAGGTGCTAATTATTTCCTAGTTTGTCTGTGGAGTATGGCAGAAGAAATTTGGCTACATCTGTTTTTGTAAGTGACCTGGTCTTGGATCTTGTGACTTGATTAAAAGTAATGAAGACTGATTTCATAGCGCACATATGGATCTGCTTTCCTGCTTTGACAGAATTTACTGGTTTTTTTTCTGTAAGAATGGTAGTTGTACCGTGACCCCTGTAGAAATACGAGTCTGTTCTGAAGGATTCATTAGAAGCATGAAACAAAGCATCTCTTTAGGCTTTAGTTCTTCAGGGTGCAAAAAGTTCTTTGAAACTCTGGATAAAGGTAGCCTAAGTGTGAAGTATTTCTGTATCTTACTGAAAGAGAAAGTATAAAGGGGAGGTATTTTAAGACTGGGAAGAAGGTAAAATGAAGCTTTGGCAGGAGAATGTTATTGTTATTTCCAGGTGGCACTGTTGAATTCCTCTTACTGCTTCAAGTGCTGCATAACAAATGTGGACATTAAAGCTTCAGAAAAGCAAGGATGTTGAAGTAACAACTGTAATAGCTCTTGCAAAAATCTGATGCCTATTGCAAGTTCTTTCTTGTATATAGAGGGACAGGGTGTTTCCTCGCTGGCAGAAATTGAATGTGTAGTTTAAGGAGTGCTAAGCAAATAATGTAAGTCTGATTGGCAGTGCCAACGTTCAGCTTGAAGGACTGGATCTTGTAGCATCATATCTGACTGTTACCATCCCACATCTGATATTGGCAATAAATATAAGAAGCTAGTTACTGAGGCTTTTTCTGAAGTTCATTTTAAATTTTTTTCACTGCCAAGCTGTGATATAGGTGGATTTTAATATATCTCCGTATTAAAGAAAATATAATAGTATGAAAGTTAGCCACATGTATTGAATATTCCACTTAATTTCATTTAGAAGTTCTTGTGAATGTGAAATGTAAACATAAATGTTGATATGGGTCAGACTTCTATTTCAAGATCAGATAGTACATAAAACAGTCTAAAAGGTGTACTAATCTTGAAAATATCACAGCATGAGTTTGAATATCTGGAGAAGCTGTGTTAAGAAAACAATCTAACCTCTGTCTTTAATTTTAGAGCAATATCAGCAATATCTGCTGGATGTGTTGCAGTTTCTTACCAGACAAGCTGTAATAAAATAATACTCAAGTATAGTATCTTTCGAGCTATTATTAAAAGCCCTCTGTAGACCAACAGCACAATGGGAAACAATGCTACATACAAGACATGTTTCTAACATTTTTTAAAGATACTGAAGGGCTGTTTCTTGGTGGAGTATTATTTATATACTGTTTTCAGGTACTCTTGCATGAAGTGGTATTGATTTAAAAAGACCCCATAGCTTTCCTACTTAAAATAATAATTTCCTAACATAGTAAAATACAACATGTATTTTTTAATTTTATCCTTTTAACATCGAAATTACAAGATTACCTTTTTAAAATAATATAAAGCATTCGGTGTAAATTTGATTCTACCTCTGCTTTGAGAAATGACCTGTTTCAGGTTTGGTCTTATTTACATCTGTGGATGGCTGGGGAGATCTCTGTCCTCTGCTGTTAAAAAGCAAGCATTCCTGATCTGAAGAGAGCCAGAGAATAGGAAGTGCCACTCTTCAAGTCAGATAGCTGTACTAGTAGACAAACTGAAAGAGTAAGGGAGTTCCTTGTAGAGGTTCCCAGTTGGAGTGTAGAGGTTATGTGGGCTGTTAAGGGTACCAGCCTTGGCCTATGAAGAAATTTGTTTTTATTGTTAACAGTGGATGAGGAGCATGGTAGCACGTATGGAGTACTTTGAGAAGTGCTGTGTCCCTAGAATCATTTTTGCTCCATTTAATTTTAAAATATCAGAAATCTGTATATATACATTTCCATCTCCCCAGTAAATTATGTTAAACCATATAAAGGCCTCTTTAAATTTGTGAAAGGGTTAAGTCTGTGTATGGGCAGTTGCCACGGCCTAGTTACATGCTGTACCTAGCTGTTTGGTCTTACCTTAATTGTATGTATGACTTGCAAGCTGCACAAGTTTGTCACAGACTTTGTCAGTCAATTAAAGTAAAATTACATCGAGATGGAAAATGGGCTTTTATCAGTATTTCAGCATTATCTGATACTGACCTTTAATATTGGCTGTTCTGTCTCCACATTATTATCAAAAACTGCAAACTTGGTTTGATTATTCCAGTTGGTAGGACAGAAAACTCAACTCTTGAAACATGCGTTCTTCTTTTGCTGAAATTCTGAGGGAAAAACAAAGCTTGAGAAAGCCAGGGTGAGCAGTAAGAATTTGGTGTGTGCTCTTTTTATATCTCTAAAAAGTGTTATCAAAAGGGCATGCTTTGATGTATTGAGTAGTAGGCTAAAGGCAAACATAATTTTTGAAAGTGCTTGAGGTGTGAGAAATCAATAAACATTTTTACATGGAAGGATGCTTCTTCTTTGGACAGCTTGGCTTCAGGAATTCAGATAGCTGCCATGGAAATGAATTTATTTTATATGTAAATAGAATAAACAACAAGTGGCGAGGGGCTGGGATATGAATTTCTCAAATCTGAAGATTTAGTTTTCTCTCAATAACATGAGGAGGAACTTAAGGATTTATATAAAATAACTTGATTGTCAGTATTAAGAAAATCTGTAGGTTTTCTTTTTGTGTGATTAATGTGTTTGTATTTTCTCTGTACAATTGGAATGTCTGTAAGTGTAAGAATATTAAAATGTTTAACCTGTCTTCCCACTTTAGCTATGCTCCTTGGTGTCCAGCTTGTCAACAGATTGAACTGACATGGGAGAGTTTTGCAAAGGAAAGCGAACATTTAAATATCACTGTGGGAAAGGTGGATGTCACTCAAGAGCCAGGTATAGTATGAAATAGACTGTTTTAATAAACAGAATTAATAGTTATAAGTACCACTTTGTGTCTGGGAGTGTCTGTTGTTTTACTGGAGCACCTGGGATACCAGCCAAGTCAGAAAAGAGGTTTCTAAATCAAAATAATATTATCCATGTTTTATTTTTGCACATAGTTGGTATCTGTGAGCCTAAGTTTACAAACTGAATTGGAAGGATTAAAGAATTGGGGGAGTGATCTTGCTTAATCCTGTATTAAAAGGGGCTTATTTTCTATTTTAATCTACTTCACTGAAAGCTGTTGCCTGTCTCATTCCTCTCACCTACAAACTGCAGAAGACTCCAGTTCTGTAGGCTCCAGATTCTGAGAGTTTCAGGGTGTTGTAGCATTACCACAGTGGGAGCCTGCCTTAATAAGTTCTTAACCGTTTCCATGATGGTGCTGGTTTATTGTCTTCTTTAACTGTAGTAACCCTTTAAAGAACAGATGTTACTGTTGTTTTCTGTTGATGATGCACATAAACAAATGTGTTTACAGAAAGTATTTCCTAACTACTGACAGAAGCAGGAATATGATCTTGTTTAATCCTTTAGTGACTCCTTTCAAATTTTTGAATGTGTGTTTGTGTAGGCGGTACCGATATTGTTTAAACCTCTGCCTCTCTTGGTTATGCTTCATGCTTGTTTTGGCTTTGAGGGGGTAAAAGATTTTATCAGCAAAATCCAAAGACTGATGGAGTTAGGAGATGTTCCTAAAATAAAAAAGCTGAGCTTTACTAAGGGTGGGGGTTTTTTGCCTTATAAAATGTATGGAAAATATGTCAATTTTATTATTTGAAAATATGCCAAACAAGTTAGCTTTATCAAGTTAACAGCAGGGAAATTACTTAAAACTCTGGTCTCAGAGCAATTTAAGTTCACAAGAGAATGCCAGCTGTTCTAGACCTTCTGTGGGCTAGGTTTTGTTACGAGTTTAGAAGTATACAAAAACACTGATGCCAAAACGCTGTTGATGTTGGACTCTTCTTTAGTGCATATGCTAATTATTAACAGTTTATTAAATAGCTGAGTTTGAGGGGTTTTTTTTTTCCCCTAGATATAAACTTCAAGTGAGCTTCTGCACATCAGAAAAGTAGTGGTTACTCTGGAGTTAAGGTGGAAAATGGGGATCCATTATAATCCTATCTTGTTATTTTCTCCCAATTAGACAGGGATTCTCATGCTGTTTTCAAATTTCAGTCTTGATTGTGGCATTTGGATGTGACCATAACTTAAAAATGTACTTTCAGAAGTGAGGCTGTAAGAATAAAATACTTGAAATATTTCATTATTCTTCTTGGTAAAGAACTGAAATGGTAGTATTGGGTTAGGTACTTGATACTTTCTTTTGGTCTAAATGGACCTTAGATGTGACTTTTAACCAGAAGTTCCTTAAATATTTGAATTTATAATGTTGCAGAGAGTCTTGACCTCTCAGGGTGTTTGACTTCTATGAGTCAAAGGACTGACCCAAAATGATGAATTTGTATCAAAAGCATGGTTCCGACCTACATAGTATCCTGTAGTATGCCTACAATAATACACATTCAATATCCAGTTCAGCACAAAGTATGAAAAGTATAGCCACTTCTAAATATAATGAATATGGAGCTCCTCTGGAAGCTTTTTAAGGTTGTTGAGGTATTTTTACTACAGGCTTATGCTTCAGCCTTCCTTTCAGTTGGTGTGCTTAAGTGCTCTAGCTTCTGCTTTTGCTTGCACAATGGTAACTTACTTAGCTTTGGTTATGTAACCCCTTCATCAAATGAAAGTAGTCATGATGCGTTAAATTGGGGAAAAAAAACTAGATGAGTGCAGAGTTACATAAAGTTGCACTTCCAAAACCTCTAGGAGAAAGTAGCCATTCATGATGCTTAATTACAGCAGATGCCCAAATAAATCCACCAGAGCCTTAATGGATTTACGGCATATTTCAGTCACTTGATGTACTTGTCTTACAAATGCTTATTCTTTCCTCATCTTTTCTATTGAAGCACTCTGTATTTCAAGAGGAAGTAATAGAGGCACTTCTGGATCTGAAAGCTGTGTATATTTGTGGAGTCTTTCTTAAGTTTCCAATCATAACTTTTACTTGTGATTTAAAACAAGACTTCTAGAGTCTTCTGTAATCTTGGAGCACTTGCTTGAAAGGAGCTTTATTTTTTTTTTAGATGGCACCTACATTCTCTGTGTGTTTTGGTGCGTGTGTATGTACAAATACTGGCGTTTTTTCCTATTCTTGATTATCTGTTGATTTTATAATGGGTGATGTCAGATTTGCAAACCAAAACAGTTGAAATTTGTATGAAACACAACAAAACAACTTACTATCTGTTCCTAGCTTTTTGTAGCTAGCTCAAATAATGATTTACTGATCTAAGGAGGTGCCTTAGACAAGCAACAAACCTCCAGCTAAAGTTTTGGAAATTCTTAAATGCATTTTGGCAACAGATTTTATATTTTATACGGTATGTATTTCATAATTTATTCTGAGACCATAGCTACTTGCTCTAGGGTAGACTACTGGTAAGAGAGATTTAAGGTAGCTTTTTTGTTTTCTGTGTGCCTGACTAGCATTTGTAAGAACTTCAGAGAATCTTTCAGTGTTCCCATGGCTTTCTCTGCTCTTCAGCTTATCATGTTCTTTATGGCTGTCACGATCCGTGACCTATTATATCTCCTTATTGGAGTGTATTAACTTATCAGGATTTGCTGAGAGATCCACACGTGGGTATCGCCTCACACAGAGGATACAGGAACTTATGTCCCGACTTTTTTGAGTGAATAACTCGCTCAGTGCTTACTAAATTTCTAACAACAGCAAGGTTTATTGTGGGGAAAACAAAGCAATTTGGGGCAGGAGGTTCAAAAGGAGTGATTACAACACATTAAACATATATGGGTACACCTTAGTTACACATCTTATTCACGTGAGGGAAGCAGAGGGGAGGGGTATGCCCGAATGGCTGGATTATATTTTCCCCTATAAGCTGGGGTAGCCGGAATTGTCTCACCATGGCAGCGCAGGTAGGATGAGCTGGGTAGCAAAGAGGCTGCAGGCACTCCAAGCGCAGGTCGCCCCCCCCCACCACAAAGCGGCGGCAGTCGGTGCGCGGCTCCGGGACCGGAGGTGTGCAGACGCTGGAAACGCGGCGGTTTCAGCGGCGCTGGGACTTTTGGCAGCAGTGGCGGCGGGCAGGCAAGCGGCAGCAGCGAGCGGGCAGGCTCTGCAGCGGGCCGCTCCCAGCAGGAACGGCAGGCAGCAGGGCAGCTGAGCGGGCTGGCAGGCAGCTCCCAGCAGCGGGGACGGGCGGCAGCACACGGCAGGAACAATGGCGGCGGCAGGCTGCGGGGGTAGACGACCGCCTCGCACACACGAGGAGAGAGCGAGAGAGAGAGAGGGGCGTGTCGCGCTGCCTCTCTCATGGGGTTCTTCGGCGCCAGTTTTGCATTTCCGGGCTTTTCAGCCAATCAGACGGGACCTAGTCCTGCCCCTGCTTCCGGCCACGGCTCCTCCCCGGCAGCAGCTGCTCCCCCCCCCAAACACACAGAGGGGGTTTCCTGCCGTATGGAGACACCATTTTAAGTCAGTTTTGTCGGCTGACTCAAAGGACATTTCATGTTCGTGTAAGGAAATACCTGGTCCTTCACAATGGCTCTCCACCTAGTTTTTCTTGTGCAGTGGTGCTTTCTGCTTGAGTAATTCAACTGTTACACTTGTGTTTTCATTTACTTTATATCTCCCTGTGCTGGCACAACTTTTAGCTGTTTTATATTTTCCAGCACCCTGCCTTTTGTAGCAATAAATACAGAAAACTGAGAACTTGGAATTAAGGTTGCTTCCCTTTTGAACTTTAACGATGCTTGCACTCAGCTTTATTTAAATATCTTAAAAAAGCAAACAGCAAAAAGCCCAAGAACCCTTTTTTTACCTGTTCCATAAAGAATTCACTCTAGGAAAAACATTACTCCTGAAACTTCTAAACATACCTGGCTTAATGCAGTCTAGCACATCACTGTCTCCACAGGCAGAAACTCTCTAGCTCAAATACTTTTCCATGGCTAGCTTCCTGATGCAAAAAGCTATTTACTGAAAGCTGAATAAAGACTTAGTTCCACAAAAGATTATCAGAGAGCTTTTATAAAAGGAGAAATTAAATATCCCATTTATACTCTTTCCATTGGTACTTTGTATGGATGGTAATTGCTAGCTGTGGAATGTAGTTCTTACTAATGGAGTTAGGTTGCCTATCTAGGAATTGATAACCTTTGAAGTCTGTTGTATTTTTTTCCAAAATAGATTGCAATAGTAGCATGTTTTTAATTTCTGCAGTCGGTAGGTTGGATGTGTTGAATTGTAAATAATAATACAAAGCACTAAGGCAAGTTCTTCCTCAGTTGCATATTTTCTATTTGTCAGGAGGTGGTAGTGTCAAGTAGCCCTGACTTTCATGGAACAGAGTGCTGAGATATTTCAAGATTTATTACCAATCTGTTGACATATCTAGAGAGGAATGATGTGTGGGAATGAAGGATAAGAACCTCGAAACAGCCAAAATATTACCTTGCTACAGTCTTGTTTATGAGAGACTGTTTATGAGTATCCTTCCTACATGATATAAGAAATATTACCTTGCTACAGTCTTGTTTATGAGAGAAATTGAGCCTTCCTACATGATATAAGAACAGACTCATTGTGCAGTGTACATGGATTACTTGGAAGAAGAAAACACGCAAATCCAGATAGAATTTATTTAATGACTTGTATCTGAGATCTGAAATGTGTGGCTCTAAATAATTCAAAATCTGCTGGAGGATGAATTTTTATCAGGGGCCACTATATTATCAGGGGCCAGAATTTGTAGGCCATTGTTGTCATTACTATCATTAGTTGGCCCAACTTTCCACAAGAAGCAAAGGTCATCTGGAGGAGACTACACAGAGGCATAAGAACACAGCATCCTGCAGGACTGTAGGTGCATTTGTGTGGTTCTTCTTTTGGTTGCAGGTGCACACTGCTAATTTGGTCAAAAACTTCAGCTGTGTGCAAATACTGATTAGTGAAATACATGTAGAAAAATTACTTTGAAGTACACATTCTGCAAGGTAAGCATTTTTCCTCAATTTGTCAACAGAATTTAGTATCTACGGCTGTTTTTAGCATTTCTGAAGACAAACTGTAAACCTGTATTTAAAAAACAGTGGTAAAAGCTATGCAATTTGCTGCTTTCTACTCTACAAGTCGAGATCTGTAGGCATTTATAGGTAAGTCAGAATGCTGAGAATTTTCAGTTTTAATTAACTGTTTTGTGTGGGTATTTTTCTTCCCTTTCTAGGCTTGAGTGGTCGTTTCTTTGTCACAACTCTTCCTACAATTTACCAGTAAGTGTGTCATACTAGAAACAGTTGTCTGTTTCAGTTTATATTTCCACCCCCTCCAAGTCTTGTTGACCAGTAACATGGAAAATGTGATGAGCAACTGGCTTATTTTATTTTTTTGTCAATCTGTAAAACTTTTCTCAGGAACTCAATGCAATTAATGAACATTAGGTATGTATTTTTAGCTTATAGTGGAAGGTTCTCCTAAAAACAGTTTTGTATCTAGATAAGTGATACTTTTTCAGTTTGCAAACAACATTTAGTTGCATTTTTAAAAATTGGTCCAATCTTGTAGTACTGGTTTCTAGAAAGCTGACCATATGTGAGCAGACATACCTGACCTTACAGAACTGTCACTAAAATTTTTCATTTGAACAATTGACTGCGTAGGCCATGTATAAAACAGTACAGAATTTTCCACTGTTGTGGTGCTTCTCTTACTACTGAAATTCTTAAATCTGTTGACTCCTTGTCACTTGTTTTTAACTGTAACTCTGAAATGCAGGTAAAAATGAAGCAATACTGACTTTATTTCAATTCAGGTTATTGTTTAGAACTTTGATTGTATTGAAATATTCCTCATTTGAGGCTTTTATTTAGTTTAAGTATCTTAATTAAGTTCCCCTGTTATCAGTACTGCTAAAAACAAATCAGGAAAGACATTTGCTGTATCTCCAATAAAAAGAAGTCAACCTTTAAATATTGAACCCTTTATTAGGTCATGGTATTGTGAGTTGTGCAAATATATACAGACATGCATAGATATATATATGCACGTTCCTAATTCTGAGTTGTATCTACAAAATGGTTTGGCCATTAACTTTGCGTGCTTTGTATTTTCTGTAGCATTTGTGAATATTTAAGAAAAAAAGCAGCTTTAATACATGGCAAAAGCTCATGCTGTTCCAAAACATATTGAAAATGCTTAGGTGTTCAACTTTCTGAACAAGTAAATTCTGTAATGTCTACAGGGTTTCTGGTTGTTTGGTTTTTTTTTCACCATAGATGCTGTGTTAATGTGTATTTCTGTTTTTTAGTGCAAACGATGGAGTATTTCGCAGATACCGAGGCTCACGGACGTTGGAAGATCTTGAAGATTATGTTTTAGAGAGAAAATGGGAAGCTGTGGAGCCTGTAGCAGGATGGAAGTCTCCATCTTCTATAATGTAATACTTTGCTTTTATTAGCAAGAAATATGTTTTATAGCTCATTATCATTAAAGGTGCTTAGCAACAAAAGGCCTTTATTCCCTAGACATGTAGGCTTTGCAGAAGCAATCTGTAGTGATAGCCAGCTTTCCAGTTTCTCACCTTTAAAAGCAGTTTATTTTCTGCACTTATGTGCATGCTTGCTGAGACTTATTTATATCATCTTTGAAAATATATAAAGTACAGTTGCTGAGCATTAGGTGTCAGTTTCAGTATCTGCTGAGTATCAAATGAATGTTTATGTGGATTTTAACATCATGATTTCTGGCTACTTGGGGCAGGCAGCCCTCAGCTTCAAGTATTTCTTGTTTATTTGTTTACAAGGAAATCTTGTGTCCTTTGGAATAGGAAACAGTGTAGTGCTTATACAGTATATCAGAATTTGTTTTCAGAGCATTGAATTTACTTTGAGTTAGTGTAGAATGCTTGCATGATATGAAGGATGAACATAAGATATGGATGGCCTGCATTTCATTCTGGTTAAAGCTGTTATAGGTAGGTTCATGTCAAAGATCCAGTGGATGTCCTTATTTTTCACCTGAGAATGATGAAGAGCTATATGATATTTAGCAATGGGGAGAGGAGCTATGGAACAGAAATTATTTCTTCATGTCCTGGTTTCACTGGGATAAAATTACAGAATCAATTTTCTGTTGAGGGAGGCTGCAATTCTTGAGAGGACTGCAGCACCAGATTCTGTGAGAACAAAGTTGGTAAAACACTTTGTTTTGGTGCACGGCTGGCCATGTTGTGGAGGTTTCCGAAGTGATCAAGGTTTTCAAGCAGTTTTGAGCTAGCCTGGTGCTTGGGCTAGGAGAAGTGAAAGCCAGGGCAGCTGACCCAAGCTGGCCAACACAGGTATTCCATACCACAAACATCACTCTCGCTATAAATGGGAAGTTCTCTGGGGATGGGGCTCTTCCTCAATGGCTGCCCTGGAGGGTCTTGTCCGTCATTCTGCCCCCAAGGCCTGCTCTTGTATGTGCTGTGATGGTTGCACTCTCACTAGAGCAGTGGTGCTCGCAGTGTTTGACATCTGGCATCTACTGTGGGGAACTCGCAACCTGCCACCACTATGTGGGCTGAGTATAACTTTGTACTTTATATTAGTATTGGGATTAATAGCCATGGGTTATCTTTTTCCCTAATTTCCCTTCTTGGGTGGGGAGTGGTCATTGGGTGATAAAACAACTGCCTAAATGTAGACACTTGATTATGCTCAAATGTCATCTTTCAAGTTCCTGTTTCAGTGCTTTACAGTCAATTGGATTACATAAACATAAGGCAGATAAAATGTCAGTAGCCCCCTTCTGACAATTACTAGGGGCTGAATGGCATTGAAAGTCTGTAGATAGAATTGTTTTTCTGGGCAGTTTGCTGTGTATCTCAGCTGTTTTAGAACCTGTTCCTTCCTTTGTTTTCTAGGATGCATGGTATGGCAGGGCTATTTCACCTCTCTGGATGGATTAGGGTAAGTAACTATGTGGTAGGGTTTTCCATACCGCCTTTTATGATTAGAATAATAATCTGTTTAAAAGTCCAAACCTAACTGGATGGTTTTATTCTTTTCTGAGAGTTAAATTTTCCTTATATTTACTGTCCTTTTGGTGTATAGTATCTGCACTGTAAATTTTGTAGTATTAATGAAATATACCAAAAATGGCAGTTTGTAAAGATTAGTATCAATACTGAGAATTATTACTTAAATATAGTTAAAATGTTCTTCTATCAGTGTGTGATAACATGATAAAGTAGTTTTTTGAGAACTGCTGCAAAAAAGGTTGTAAACATGGGGAATTCATTTAGTATCTACCAGATTCTCTCACTTAATACAGTTTCTGAAGATCATATCCAAGTTCATTTTCAGATTTGTAGATCATGCTCTTCTGCAGTTCATTGGCATCTAGTGTATTGTACAGGAGAAGAAATGGTGATCGTTTTATTTGTAGGAAGAATTTCTGCATCTGGGTTTCAAGCTGCCAGTGCTGTTTGCATAGGAACACCAAAAATTTGGACAATAGAGGAATTATGAGAAGTAAAGGCAAAATGCTTAGGGTACAATGAAGTTTACTTAGAACTTAAAAATATTTCAAGACACTTTTCATTTGTTAGCTATCAAAGCTTTTCCTGTACAATGCAAATGCTGAACATTTTCCGACCTTTCAATTTTTCTCAGGAAACATACACTTTTTCCTAAAATCTTCCAGTGTAGCCAAGATTGAGACACTGTACTTGATTGTAGCAAAATGTTTTAATATTGTAACTTGCTACAAAAAATAACTGTAGTAGAGAGTGTGAACTGAGTTTGTGTTGCTTCCAGTAAGCATCTAGCTAGCTCAGAATCAAAGAAAACTTTCAATTATTAGGTTTCCTCTGCAAGCTTTGATTCTTAGTATTAGTTAGTATTAAGATTTATATAGCCTTTTGGTACTTCTTTTTTATGGTTGCTGTGTAATGACGTTGTCCGTGTCTGATTTCCTTCCATAAAGATGAAATGCTCTAGGAAGAAACAGTGTAAATTGCTTTCCACTTCTATGAATATTTCAGTTGTCTATTCCCTCACTTTTCTTGCTTTGCTTGAATATGCTTTAATAAATGTTGAAAGCCGTTCTGACAAAAAAGAACAAACCAAATAAAAAAAACCAACCAACAACAAACCACACTACCCTGGAATTTCAGTATTTAAACTTCTGTAAATACTGATTGTGATTTGTTTTCTAATGGATATACTCTTCAAAGAGATCTAATGTTCTGATTTACTTCCTACCAGACTATCTGACTTGATGTGATGCTTGTCTCCATCAATTGAATTTGTAGGTTTGAATAACAGACCTCAGTTTCAAAGAAATCTTAATTTTGTCTTTGGATTATTCTCTTTAAATTTATAAGTGAAGTCACCTATTCAGTTTCTGCTTAAAATGGATAGCTGTTTTTAAGAACTAAAGAGCTTGAATAAGCACTAAATGGCTCAATTTAGTTACTGAATTAATTCCAAAATTTAAGTATGTATTTTGATCTTGTGCAACTATTATGTGTGTACCACTCTGTTTCCCAGCTGCAATTATAAGGATACAGCCCTGCATGAAGTTACATGTTTTTCAGTTGACATTGCAATTTTGAAGTGGGTATAAAAGGACAATTGTTTTTAACCTCACTTTGTTGTTTTTTTAATTCTGAAAGGTTTAGTTCCTAAGTTACCTTTTTTGAAATAATCAGTTTCACAGACTTCTGTTGGTGCTGTGACTGTCCTTACCAGGGATGCTTTCTGCATGGTCTTGTTCCTATGACAGAGGCCACATGAACAAAAATGTACAGATTCATGCTGTGGGTTCATCTGGCCTAACAGTATGTCTCTGTTGCTACTTTTTTACAGAATGTAAGGATGAAGACTGTTGTGGTACTTTCCTTTATGCTCTGAGGCTTCCTCACACATTTATCTGCACTTAGATTATATATGGCATCTCTAACGCTCAGTATCTTAGGAAGAAGGAACTGTGCATCCTTTGCTTAAAAAGCATTTTAGTGTGAACAGCTTGGTAAAGAAAAACAATAGTTAGATTTAATGGTATAAAAATTATTGTATGACATTTAAGGATAACTTGAGAGGGAAGATTTGAATATAAATACTGTTAAATGACAGGTCTTAATTAGTTATCAATTTATGTAATGTGATGGCAGTCTAAATTACAAGGGAAGTTAGGTGTGAAGTTTTATTAAGTATCTTCTCACTTCCAGCAAATTCATAGCTACCTCACTGGCACTCTTGGAGTTCATGTTTGGATTTCTTATGCAGTCTTCATCTCAGCTACCTTATTGATTGGCCTGGTCCTGGGTTTGGTAAGAAAGCTTTCTTTTCCTCAGTTGCACGGAACTTGCACTTTGCATTAACTTGTAAAAAAAAGAATAAACTTCAATGGTAAGATACACTGAAGTATCTTATTTTAATAATGTATCTCTTCCCTCTGGTATCCAGTGATAGGATGCATGGGCATGGTTCAAAAAGCTGTGCCAGGAGAGGTTTAGACTGGACGTAAGGAAGCATTTCTTTACCGAGAGGGTGATCAAATACTGCAACAGGCTTCATAGAGAGGTGGTCAATGCCCCAAACCTGTCAGTGTTTAAGGGACATTTGGACAATGTCCTTATTAACATGCTTTACCTCAGTCAGCCCTGAATTGGTGAGGCAGTTTGATTTTTGTTGTCCAACTGAAGTAGTCTGTTCACTTTTGTTAAAATTCTTAAGTATTCAGTACTGCAGAGATCAACTCTCTAGTGTTGTTACTTCTGGTAAAGGTTGACTCGTTCACTGAAATAAATTAACCTTCTTATGAAATTAATTTTTCAGTTTAGATTTGTTTAGTCCATCCACTAAACAAATCATCTTTATAGTGGCCTGTTGTATCTAATACTTTTGTAGTCAAGGATTGAATGTGTGGTCAGAATTGTGTAAAGACTACAACAAAGTAAAAACACAGCCTTTGAGGAGGAATATTTATTAGCTGGAGTGGGATTGTATTTGTGGGAGTTAGCAATGCAACTGTTACTCAAAATAAAAGGATGAAAATATTTTTTAAAGGCTTTGAAGATTTGAGGATTTAATTGATTGACTCTATTCCAGGGCATAGCTTTGTCATTACAGCTTGGTTTTAAGAAAATCTGACTTCACTTCTTTCTCCCCTGTGATCTTTTGGTTTGAGTTCTTATTAGTAATTGAAAAATCTGATCTCTCTCGTTCCTAACCAGGACTGTTGTGTTCATATACCAACTTCCAAAACATCAGGGAGTTTATTAAAAAAAAAAGGTGTTAGCTATATATGTGAATGGGAAGGACCATATCCTGAGCCCTATATTGTTTCATCAGTGGAAACTGTTCAAAGTTGCTTTACCTGTGGAGCTGGGATTGTTTTCTCTCAGAATATTTGGATGATGTGGCTCTTTGACCTCTCCAATACCAATATTAAATAAGAAACTGAGCTGGAAAAGGAGAAATAGATGGGAATGGAAGTTCTTAGACTCATTGCTTGATGCACAAGCAAATTGCACAAGAAAATTTAAAACAGTTATACTGATAACTGGTTTAACTAGCTGCTGAATTGCAGGAAGTGTAAAGGTTGTTTCTGTCACTTGGATCTCTGGCTTTCAGCCCAAATATTAGTGCTAGTGAAATAAATCAAAACTGCTTGAATAGTTTTCTATGTAATACAGGGAAGTGTTTTCAAAGTAGTGTGTGTGTGTATTTAGCCAAACCCACATTTTTGTATATATGTCCAGAATTGGTATATATGAGCAAATGTCTTTCATTATGTAATTTAAACAGCTACATTTTTCTAGGTGATAGTTTTTCGTCACCAAATGAAGTGCAAATGAAGTTAGTGTAACTAGGAGCAAGTGAATATGATGATTTAAAAAAGCCTTTCCTTCTTGTTGCACTAAAAAAAAATAATGGAAAATGCTAAAAAAAAAAGGTACAGTTTATCTCTCAGCTTTTTCTAAAAGGCTTCTCACTGATCTACAAATGCTTCTTTAACCTAGTATCATCTGACTCTCCTTTCCTTTGCATTGCTCTTAGCACATGACAATGAGACAAGTATCTTCCCTGCATTTTGATTGTACATGTTCTACATTAGCCTACTTTAAATAATAACAAAAAAACCCACTGTAAAACACAAAATTAAGCACAAAAGGTGGAACTACACATCATGTATTAGGGAGTCAGGGGTAGGAATTGAATAACATTCCCAAAAATAGAAAATCTTGACAGTTTCATAACTGTATTCTGGGCCTCTCTTAAGATGCAAGCCATTTCAGTATTGAATAAATTAAGGGAAGTAGGAGGCAGAAAATTTGGACTAGAAAGAAAGTTGGTTGATTGGTTGCTGCACACTGAGAACACACTTCTTTTCACTGTTTTTATTTAGCACCTTAGGACAACTCTTACCTCTGAGCAAGATAGTATAATTTTCGAAGTTTTATTGTATGCCTGTCTAAAAAGGAGGATTAGGAGAATACTTATAAGTGCAAGGGCTTCTGGGATGGTTTACTAATAAATGCCTTTTTTTCATGTACACAGATACTGGTTCTGATTTCAGACTGCCTTTGCCCATCTAAGTCAAGATACGAAGCTGAAACACCTGGTAAGAACTGTGCAGTGGGTTTACTGTAGGTTTAAATGTACACTTGTAGGAAAGAGGGAGAACTTAGATGTGAACCAATGTCAAGAAGTTCTTAGCTGTCAGGAAATTAGATGAGAACCAGTAACCCAGGTACTCATTTTAGTCACACTGACAAAGATTAATATGCTGGCCTCCGAAATACCGACATCAGTGCATCAATCTGGAGGACAGCAAAACAAACCCCCAAAAAACAGGAATGTATTCTAGCTTCCACACCTGTGAAGAGGCTTCATGCATTCAAAATGGGGAAGTCTTGAAGAAAAGTACTAGGGTTTGTGCATTTTATGCAGGTGCATATTCAGTAGACCTGTTGCATAAATGCAGAAAGGAGTTTGTTTTGATAGGACACTTTTGCATTGTAATGTGCACTCTATATATTGCATTAGGAGGTGCAATGTTCTTAATTTGTATAATTCTCCATGTAATTTGTGGCTGGGGAAATAAAGAGACAGAGGGTATTGAATTAATCTAGAGATGGCAGATGTGGGATGGGGGAAGGTGTAGATTCTCCTTAAAATAAAAGAAAACATACATTCTCCTCCTGATTCTTAGTGGGAGGGCTTGTGAATAATATTCTGCTCCCTATGAACATGGGAGGCAAAAGCTTGCACACAAAATAAAGTCTCCTGTCAGCACCAGATGTATCTTAAGCTCCGTTACACCTTTTAGCAAGTTACTGCTAGTAAGTGGAGTCAAAACTTAACTGTAATTAAAAAAATATATTTTTCAGTTGTGTACATTTGTGTGTATTGTGTTGCTTTCAAAGAGGAAGACGCACTTGTGACACTTGCCAATCTAGACACTTTAGCCAAATTTAGTATTCACAAGAGTAGAAAATTAGTCTTCAAAATATTAGATGTTTATCACTATCAAAAGTGCACTGATTCATACTTGTGCAGTATGCTGTCCAGTTGGCTGCTTGACTTGAAAGCAGTTGTAACCTGACAGAGCTTATCAGTATCTTACTGCTTTCTCACTGATCTGTTTGATAATTAAGCCTGTTCAAGGAGCCAGGCAAACCTGATCTGTCTTTTGATTGTAATGTGGTGGAACAAAATCAAAGTTATCTATACCTGATATACAGGAAAAACAAACGACAAATATTGTTGAAGTTTTATTTGAAATAATGGAAATATAAGAAAAATGCAATCCCCTGCAAGTTTTCAATAATAATGTTCATGAATATTTCTGAATACGTACATGGTAATGTCAGTTTAAAAGACATTGTTCTGAGATTGAGTCTTTCTTCAGTGTTTGAAACTTCTTTTGTTTAGTAGAAGCAATTACCAAGGATAATGTAGAGAATGCAGTGTTAGAAGAAATGGAGGAGGCTGCAGAGCTTTCAGCAGATGATGCAGAAGAGAATGCAGATGTAAAAGATCTCTCAGATGGAGAAGATGCAGCAAATTCAAGTGCTGATGACTCAGAGGAGGATTTAGCCCTTGGAAAAGAATCAGAGGAAGAAGATATGGAAGACTTAAGTGAACAACCTTTAGTTGATTCAGAGACTGAAAGCACGGTAAGACAGCGTAAAAGTCAGGTGGTTGATAATGGACTATAGTTGTTTCAGTGCTGCATTTTCGACATTTGGACCAAAGAAGAATCATGCCCTTTGAAGCTGAAGCTTACAATTGTCATTCGTGTTTACGCAAAACCTCTGTTCTGTCAGCAGGTGTCTCTTTTTTAAGCTAATACTTGCTCTTGTGGTTTGTTTTATAAGCACATATGCTTTGTATTGTATAACTTTAGCCATGACAATCAAAGTAAATCTATCTTACCTGTTTAAAATCTTCTAAGAGAAAAGGGGTATCAGAGTCTTAGTTCACCAGCTATAAAATGGTCATCTATGCTTATGTTACTTTTTAAGTGTTGGCCTAAGCAAGATCTTTTAACTCTTTACAGTACCTTGACAGGACTGTAACTTTTCTCTCTGAATGTTTGTTGTTTCTAAATGCCACAGAAGCACCAGATAAGTGATAAAGTAGTGAAAGAAGGCACTTTACTAGTCTTCTGTTAAAAATGTTGTATATTATGGTGGGGTTTTTTATCAGTTCAAACTGAAGTATCTTTCTCATTTTTATTAATGTTTGTTTTTAAAATTTATTGTACATTACACTGTGTGCCCCCAGTCTTTTCTGCTTTTGGTAATTTGGAGGCATGCACCAGACCTCAAGTGTGTCAGCTGAGATTTTTTACCCAAGAAATTTGAACAATTGAAAACCTGAGGCTGAGAGAGTGGTAGCTAAATGTGTAAAATCCATTTGAACTTCTAAAAGATTTAAAGGAAATTATTTTGGTCACGGGGGATTTTTGCCAAAGCATGACCTTTTTTCTTCTTTTGTTAGCCCCCCTCCTCACCCCTTCAGGTGCTTGTAGCAAGAAGTATTAATTTTGCAGTCAGTAGGTTGTAGTTTTCTTGCCAATAAAAGCTTGTCATATGCAGTGCAGTTCTACCATTTTTAACTCAGTACTTTTTGGCAGAACTCAAACTGCTTGTCACTGGACAAGCATGTTAAAAAAAGAGAGGGGCACAAGGCTTTTGCTTTACTGCTTTTATCAAGATAAGCATATGTTTATTGAATAGTGTGAAGTGAAAATGGCTTACCAGGTAGACAGCATTAGGTGTGGTTAGAAGACTTAGGTCATAAAAGATCTCAGTATTTTCCTCCTTTGACTTGGTTAATATATAAGGCACGTTGTTGGTTTTTTTTTGTTGAGGAATACCTACAGTGAGATCCTGTATGTTCCTGTTTTCTTCATCATGTGCATAAGATGGTGTCTTAATCTTGATTTTTATATATATATATATATATGTATCTATATACGTATATTGCAAAACCTTGCTAACATGCATGAATTTCATCATCTTCAAGAATACAGAGTAATTGGAGATGAAATTCTCTCATTAGAAGAGATAAGTTGCAAGTGCAAAATGCTGGTTTCCTTTGAGACTGAGATTAATCGGGCAAATTTGTATTAAAATTGTTTTGTTGTGGTTTTTTCAAATGCTCATGAAGAACATATTTACTAAGCAGCTTAACTTTTCCTGTCTGTGTCCTGTTGCATACTGTATCTTGGAACTTGGCAATTGTCTGTTACATCTGTGCAAAGAACAGAATTACTAGCTTGAATATGAGTTTTCTTAAGGTATGTTCTGGGTCTGGAGCTTGAATTTCATATAGTGGACACATGTAAATATGCTTTCACATATCTGAAAACGTACAGTTGGTAATATATATATACATTGCACTATAATGAGAACAGTTTGTCTTATATTGTTTGGCAATGTCCCATGTAATTGAGCAGTTTTAGAAGCTCACAGGCAGCAGGATTCAGTAGCAGTTGGGGTACACTGTGTCTTCATTAAAAAAAACAAACACCAAAACAACAAAAAAACAAAACAAACACTCCAAACTCAAGCTTAAGCTTTTATTTGCAAAAATTAGGAAAACCTGCTGGCCATTGTGGCCTGCAGGGAAGAGCTGTGCACCTAAAAGCTGAGTACAGATTTCTTGTTGCCATGATGTACTTGCTTTTTGCATTATCTGTGCATCAGGAGCTCATAAAAGTTTAAAAGAAAACCAAGACCTTAATCCTATTTAATGAGACAAGCAAGAGTCTGAGTGTATATTCAGTTATGTGAACTTGCATAAGATAAGAATGGGCACATCCCATCAGTAATGGATCCAAAACTACCCGACACTGAAAAACAGATGGGACTGTATCCAGTGCAGATTGAGGGCAGTGATGCCTTTGGTTGTGTACCAAAGAGGATATTTTACACTGCATAGGGTCTTCTGATATTCCTTGTGTAGGAGGGAGCATGTCAATATTACATTTTGATTCAGTTCTTTACTTTTGTAATACGGAGACAGTCACCTAATGTCCTCTTCAGCTGTTTAAAGAGGTCTTTTAAAAAGATACAGAACATCCTTACACCTAACACTGTCTTTGTTATATGCTATTGGGAGTATGAAGTATTAAAAAGTCAAATGGAGCACTTCTCAGTGCTCAAGATGAGACATTTGGGCATTTTGAATGTATAGACAAATAAGGTGTTCCCACAAGAATTGGATTTCAGTACAGCCTCAGTGAATTTCAAACAAAACCACAATCCAGAAGCAATACTTCATCCTACAAGTTACGGGATGTAAGAGATGCTGTAGGAAAGATCAGAGACTCCTTTGTGTGGCGGTTCTTTGAAATCTGTTTTTGTGTGTCACTGATAAGTTTGAATTATTTAAAATGAAGATGTTACATATTTTTCCATCATAGTAGACCTAATTGTAAGATCACTCTCTGAGCAGGGATTAAGTAAGCAGGCAGCAAGTGACAGCAGTTCATGTCTTCATAGTTCTGTCTTGTGAATGTGAAAATGAGCTGTACTAGGCTTTTAAAGTGTCTTGAACATAAATTGTATGTGATTGCTCCTGTGTTCTCATTAATAAAGTAGGGAATATTAATGCTGACTTGGGTTTGACTGTATTTGACATGTTTTAGAGTATCTTATTACAAAGATCACTAAATTGTGATTAAGACTTCAGGGAAACAGATGCTGTGCAACCATCAATATCTCCAGTGTAGTTTTGCAATTGTAGGAAAAATATTTTATCATGATAATGGAGACACGCAACTTTAACTAATATAGTTTATCTGGCAAACAAGTAGCTAATACTGTGAAGACTAAAGTTGTGGTTAATCAGACCACTAGCTATGCAGTAAAATAGTAATGTTAACGTACCTTCCAGAATCAGGTTTTTTTCCCACTAAAACATATTTTAATTGAATCATGCAAGTAGAGTACTAATTAGATCATTACAGTAAGTACTAAACCTGGTGTGTTTCCAAAAAAAAAGTCAGTATCAACCTTTTTTGCAATCTGCGTGTTCTGTTATCTGGTTCTGTTACAATTAATTAAAAAAAATGGAACTTGTCTTTGCAACCTCAGTATGGACAAAATGCCCATGGAGAAGCTGCTGCTAAGTGTTAAAAATGTTTTGTTGAAGAATGAGGCTGTAAGGCTTGTAATGTCAAAAATAACTTAAAGATTTTTGAGAACCAATTTAAATCCCAAATGGGATTCCATGCCACTCTGAAAACCATTTCCTGATGGAGCTGAGCATGAATGCTCACAAGCAAGTAATTATCCAATGGGTTACTTATTAAAGAGGCTAGAAATACATAGAGCCTTTCAAAACTCCTGTTCTTGAGATTTCTGTGAAACTTGTGTGCATGTCTTGGAATTCTGTATATATGCTGCACCCCTGCTGGGCAGCATTTGTGATGTGGGCTTTCTTCGTGGAAATGTTATACAGGATTGTAATTTATGTGGAAGTGTTGCAAATTTATACTGTGAGTATTTTTACATAAATTCCATATAAATATTGTATTTTCCATTATCTTGTAGTTTTCATTTTCATAATTTGAAGATTGCTTGTCTGTGTAATTAACAAAATATTTATTTAATACTGATTTTCCAATTAATGATAGAGGTTGTTTTATGAAGATTCCTTAAACTTTTCAAAACAAACCTGTACACTAATGAATCCTTGTTGTATGAGTGGGAAAAATGTTTGGAAGCTCACCTACACTGAGGTTTTCATTGTAGCGACTCTGGAGGACTTCATCTCTGTGTTAGGTTATTTTTCCCCCCTCTTCAGGAATCAACTGTCTAACTCTCTGGACTAATTTTTCTGTTCTAATTTTCTCTGGAATTTGGAGGACAGCACTATATTTCTCCTTACTTCTGTGATCAAAAAGAGGTGTACAGATCCAAATGGCACATCTTCTGGTTGAGTTTTGCAGCAAGCAGTCATAAATAAAGAAATTTGCCTTAGGGCCAGGTGTGCTGGTGGAAGAAGTCACTACCAGGAATCATAGCTGCAGTGTGTCTGGATGATGTGAACAACTGTTGGATCCAGTACCCAGATTCATTCTGTTCAGGTGAGTTTCCTGACCTGCCTTTCAGTCTGAACAGAACTGCTGCATGGGTTGGGTGACTTGCTTTTCACTTGGATCATCTTTTCCATTGCATTGATTTCCTGATGTAAAGTTGAAGGGGGACTGGTATCAAATGAAGCCCTTTGAGTGTTTTGTTGTTTTACTGTTCAATCAGCTGTTTCTTGTTCAGTCTTACAATATGAGAATATGAAATTTTCTCCATGAAAACAGGCAGATGGAATACTGCTTTCAGAATCTGAGTTTTGACAATTACTCTGTTTAAGCAATCAAACATAAGCTCTATTTTTATAGACAAAGTAAGGTATCTCTGGCTGTATTGGAGCAGAAAAGCTTGAGCTTCTATTGGAATGTTGAGCTGGACCAGTAATAATTCTCAGCTCTGACAGCAGGGCTGTCAAGTTGCATGTGCCTGCTCCTAGGAGCTGATCACAGACTGAAAATGAAAAGCTCCATGGCATTGCAGCAGGCTTTTTTGCTGACACTATGGTAGTGGGAAGGAAATGGATCCCCTCCTTTTCCCTTAGATTCTGAGTATTACCCACACACAGAGAAAACACTGGGAAGCTTGGCTGTGAAGGGCTGCTGTGCATTTCCCTTGTG